GGAAAGAGCATTGATGCCTTCCTCCCTTCCACTCCTGGCCAAGAGCACGAAGGATGAAAGCAACTGCGTGCCTCAAGACACAGAGGAATTTGATGTTGCAACCGACTTAATCTAACAGCGGCCGGAATGGGCAATCCCGGTCTCCGCCATAGCCCGGCCGATGACTTCTTGCACCGACACCAACGGCGCAGCTGAACTGATGTAAACCGCATCACCGGTTACCCGACCCACTGCTTTCAGCGCAATGCCAAACCAAACCTTGTGCTGCAGAGTGTTTCGGTCTCCCAGAGCAGGGGCAAAGCCTCACTGGATGAGTCCAACGGCACTCGCATCTCACTGTGCCCCACTCCATCCTCAGCAGTGGGAACAGGAGAGGTTGAGCAACAGACACGCAATACCCACAGCTCCAAGAAACATCGCCGCATTATTTCCAGAGGGTACAAAGAAGGCAATCAAGACGTTTGTCAAGATAAAGGGACGTGGTTAGGGTATGACATTAAATGTAGGACTCATTCCTGCCATGTTTTGCTTGCTCAATTTAAGCCTGATGGGAGGTGGAAGCAAACATTTTCCCTGATGGAAGAAATCGCCAGTCAAAGTGAACGCTAACGTACATTTTAACACCCTCATCTTGGAAACAACTGAGCAGCATCGGGAATGAGCTCTTCTCCCTGCTTAGCTCTCTCCTTGAAGCAGGGTGTTGAGATTATATAGGACATTGTGCCAGATATAGGCTATGGAGAGGACTCAGTAATTGACACTATTTTTATACCTTTTATGCAAATTGCAACCATCAGCCCACAAATCACCAGTTTAAGCAGCTGAGCGGGGTGCTAAATAACTTGTTTAAGCCTGAGCGTGATGCACCCTGGTCTGGGCTACTTAATCCAGCTGTGGCATTGCCTTGGTAACACCCTCCCGCACGTTCCCACTGCTGTCTCGCTCGTCCTCCAGCCGAGCCAGACAGATCCCCGGCCCCGAAGGATAATCATCAGATAGCAGCGCTTTCCACAAAGCGGCTTGCAGCAGCAAGCAAAGAGCGCAAACCGGCACAGACGACAGCGAGTGATGCTCGCCGAGGGCTACTGCCGGTGAAAATTTAAGCTCATTACAGTCGGTTCCTCTGCAAAGAGCTTGTGACTGCAAGGGTTTGGGCTGTGGTGAGCCACAGACGGCAAGCGGAGTGTCCCGCAATGCCAGTACCAGCAGCGTTTCAGGGAAGCTGGGTCTAATAGATGATATTTTGTCACCAATTCTGCTGCTCCCCCAAGAAACATCACGTTTCTGATGCCTCTTCTGTGCTGTTTTCTCCTATTTCTGCCCTTGAAACAAATGCCTGGAGAGACTCAAGACTTGCAGCGAGCGAACCCAGAAATCGTGCCTTGTCTCCTCTCCCAGCCACCGGACCGTGCTCCCTCCTTCAGCTTTCAATAGACCTGTTTTCTACCTTTTTTTGGTTGTTTAGCTTCTTCCTAAAATCGAAGCTCTCTAGCCACAGGCTGATCCTCACATCCATCTCATCACGCCTGAACCAAGTATGACTTTGAGGCAGCAACTAACAGCACAACACCGGTACCCAAAAACTTCAATCTTGCACCGGGGTCTCGCTGAACCAGACGCTGCCCAGACAAATGAAAACGCGGCCCCGTCACCCTTCAGCAATCCCACCACTTCCCACTGGTGCTCCTGCACTGGCACAGAGCTGTCTCCTGCTGTATTTATTCCATATTCTCCTTCCACAGCTCTCCCTCACCAATTTTTCCTGTTATTTCAGTTGTCGATATTCCCTCTGCCTCTCTCCTCCCGGGCAGGAGGAGGGCAGAGCACTCGGTGCAAACCTGTGCCAGGACGTTACAAGTCTGCATCCATGATGCAGAGCCGGGAAACAATTAAAACCCATTAGTAAGAACAAAGCAAACTTTCCCTCTGGTTATGCTGGAAGCTGGCTTTATTTTTCAGTTTCTTTTCCAGGGTAAGCATTAAGTCCATTAAAACACAATCAGATGCAGTAGCTTTTATCGTCTTTTGTTACCAACATGGAGTTATTAAATTGAAGGGCTCTTCTTTGTGCAAATCTGCCTCTCCAGCACTGTAGGCAAGCCCAGCGCTCACTCTTCGATTTATCATCTCAGTATTGAAGGCTTCTTAAAGGAAGAAGGGAATAAGTAACGCAGGAATAAAATCAAGATAGCACCGTACGTTTTATCCCAACTCATTCATTTCCACACAGGTGATGATGAGAAGAAAGAGTAAAACCCGCAGATCTCAGTGAGATCTGTTTCTCCTGACTGATGAACCAGAGCAGACGGAGGTAAAAAGCATCGTGAAGAAATATTTTATCACCCTAAAGAAAGATACACGGAGAAAAGAGTTGTCTTAGCTTTCTTTAAACAACTTCACTCCCGCAAGCGTGCGGTAAGAAATTTGTGCTCACATTTTAAATGCCTTTCTCGCAGCGGAAGCTGTGAGCGCTCAGGTTTTTTG